TTGCCCCTCTACCATCTAAATGCTGAGAACTCAGGCCCTAGGAAATGGCAAACCATGCAATAGAAGGAAGCATCCTTTCTAAACTGAAAGAAAGCTACTCACTGAGAAAAGACTCTTACATGATCAAGAAATATGCTTTTATTGTGTCAAACCACTGAAAGTTTTGGCTTTGATACAGCAGTTCCCATTGCCCTAGTTATTGTACTGGGAAATGGAAGGAAATATGGGGCAAAAAGTATGAGTTGATGGATCAAAAATTGGGGGACACAGAGCCATGTCATCTGAACCAGAAGAGAACCTGGAACAAAACAAATCAATCCTTTTACTCAGGGACTGAGGGGACCAGCGGACACAACATCCTTCAGACCGTGCCCTCCCTCACTCTACCTTCATTCAGTTGCTAAACCTGCCTCATTCTGCTCAACGTTCAAGCAATATCTACTTCTCTCCATTCTCACTGATGCCACCTGGGTGGTCATCTTCATCTGCTAGCTGAAGTAGTCCTGTGTTCTCTTAGCCACCCCCTTTTCCCTCACAGATCCATTCTCCCTGCTGTGGCCAGAATCATCTTCATAACACACAAATGGGATTCTGACCCATTCCTTAGGCCCTGACTTGAACCCTTCAATTAATTCTCGGTGTGATTACAATACAGTTCAAACTCCTTTGCAGTACATATATGGCCCTGCCCAATATGGCCTCCATTTCAGCTGTCACCTCTCCAGTCCTTAGTCCCTCCGTTTCAGCCACAGTGAACTTCTTGTGGCTCCCTGGGTGGGTCACACTTCTCTTGCCTCTTTATCCATCGCATAAGACACTTCTGCTTCCCAAAAGTCCTTCCCCTTCTCTCCTGTCCACGTCCCTTCCTTCCAACAGTTTGACTGCCACTCAACCTAGCTGTCACCTTTTCTGAGAAAGTTTCTCTGGCATATTCAGACTGACTTAACTTCTTATTTTCTATCTGTCCTTTGTACCCTGTTTATGCCCCTATCAAAGCCCTTTCATACTCAATTGTTTTTCTGTCAGTATCTTCTGTTAGACTGATGCTTGAGGGTAGAAACACCTCCATCACCATGAAATCTGAGCACTTCATGGGTATTTGGCACAGAGAAGGCGTTCAGTACTTTGTTTTTTAGCTGGGTGGATGGGTGGGACAAATAATTTGTTAGAAGCCTAAGAAAAAGTCTTACATAGGCAATTAGCAAAGTTGGTTAGCTGTTAGTGAAAATATAATCACATTTTTTCATACATTTATTTATTTAATCTGATCCATAAATGTCTTTTAACATATGATTTTTCAAAGTTGCTGTGTTTGACTCTTTTAAAGAATGTGACTGATCACTTAATTATTTGTTTGTTTGTTTGTTAATATGTGAATAGACAAGCCAGTACATCTTTCTCACTCTCTGTGAGCCAGGTCTGGAAGAAACCTGGTTGTTGGGTCAGGAGGAATGAAGCAAGCACTGAGTGAAGACCTTGGTTCTGGAGTCAGAGCTTTCAGAGTTAAGTCCTGCCATGTGATTTACCAGCCATGTGACCTCGGGTGATTAATTAATGTTTCTGGAGTCCTTAGCAGAGTGCCTGGTATGTATTAAGAATGTAACAGTGAGTAGCAATAATGATCAATGTTGTATTCTCCACAAAAATTATCTTTTTCATTGTTCTTCCTTAATATTGTTGTTAGACTGTGACTAAGGCATCACGGGGGTTTGTACACTGTGTGCAGGAAAAGTAACCAAGAAAGATCAGCCCTATGAGATCATCAGGAATGACCTAATGCTCCTCGTTGGACAGACAAGAAAACCCACACTCAGCAGGGTTAGGAGACCTGCTCCAAGTCACGTAGCTAGTAAGGGCAGAGGTGAGAGTCAAACCAGAATTTCTGATTCCAAAGCCAGTTCTCTTTCCACTACACTGCACGGCCTCTGGGTATTAGCATTTCCAGGTCCCACATACTTCCAAATTTTTAAGGTCAAATAAGACTCTGGATACCAAATATTCACACTGCGACTACCTGTCCTCTTCTCTCCATTTGCAGGTATGTGGGATTGTGGGTCCATGGGGTATTCTGCCCAGGCTTTAGAGCTCTTGGATGTGCCTCCCTTCCCCAAGCCATCTTCTCTGCCAGGGCACAGACTGGCTCTCATAGAGACTGAAGTACCCTTTCACAGAGTTGCTTCTGTGTCTCTCCCTGAGACTGGGCTGGGATTGCTGTCTAACTCTTCCACTTCCGAAGTCCAGAGAACCCAAGGCTTTTGTGCTTTGTAGGCACATGCCACAAAAACTGAGCACAAAAACTGAAGTCCAATTCTTAGTGCAAACTGCCAAAGCAGATAACACTTACAGTACTCAGAAGGTCATAACTTGTCCAAGGTCGATAGGGCCTGAGGCCTCTTCTAGTCTGAACTATTTATTTTGCAGAGGAGGAAATATGGGCATAGAAATGGACAGAACAAATGGTGATAGTGGCTGTGGGGTGTCTTCTGGGTCCCATTCCATTATCCTTCTCATCACATCCATATGTGTCTTCCTGGAGCCTCATGATAATTGGATACCCGTTACAAGGACCAGTTGCTTCAGACATAGACATCTGCTTAGGACATCGGCTGTCACTATAGGGAGCAATTTTGACAAAGGCCATTGTAAGTGATTGGGAACACCTCCTAAAAACGAGATGGTCTAAGGGGTCCCAGTACCTGGGGGCTGTGTGTAATAGGGGCCTTAAGAAAGGCTCCTAGACTATCTCTTCATTGCCTGTATTATATTTTGTGAGAATGTAAACCTATCTCACTATTAATTTTAGCAAAATAAAATTAAAAAGAAAACAACCAAACAAAAAGAGATGTCATACAGAAAAAAAGTACGGGCAGTTTTAGAGATGTTTCAATAGTAATGCTCATCACTGGTTCTCCAGTATACAGAGAAATGTGCTGGAAAGGTTCATTACGATCCTTCAGTCAAGCCAAAGGCTGGAATCAGGCATGTGGTTTCAGGCATCCAGTAGCAGAGATTAGCTCTTGAGTGGGGTTGGAAATAAATATTGCCCCAGGCATCTACCCTATCCTTAGTTTAGTGCCTCCCAGTGGGTGGAAGGGAAATCTTAAGGGATCCGGATGGTTTTATCAGTTGCAGAAAACTTAGATGTTTCCAAAATCCCATAAGATATTGAAGTCTTAGAACCTCCCAGGGGGTTCCTGAGCTAGAATTTGCTTCAATCAGACAGACAGTAACATATCTAGTGTCCTCTGTTCTTCACAGTTTCTCATCTTCGGGACCTCCACTTCTAGTCCTAAATCAGAGATAGGCAACTCCCTGCAGTAGGGCAATGCCACATGCCAGAGGGCTGAAAGAGGTCTCTCTATTGCACAGGACCATTCACAGGCAATGGAGTGAGTCTGAAGGGGATCCGAAGGGGAAAATTGCCTTTTGAGCATACTAACTTCCATCACACATACGGCAGGAGACAGTATTTCTTTATTCTTAATCCTCCATTACCCTCCTTGGTACCCAGTGCATGGAAAAGACTGAATAAACATCCGACAGATGGCTAGATAAATGAATGAATGAAAGAATAAAGTGAGTGAGTTAGTTAGAAAAAGAGTTAACTATATAGGCTAGAGAATGAATGCCAAAAAAAAAAACCACAAGGGAATGGCAAAATCTTGATAATGCATACATGAATGTTCATGAATTTTATTATGGAGAAAGAAGTTCATCTGTTTATATAATTCCTATCAGTGCTGTGTTTCCTCTTATGTTCTTTACTTTCTTGAGCTCTTTAAAACAAGAAACTTAACTATTTTGTGCCCTGAGCATTTAAAATAACTTTTTGGTGTTATTTCTTTCATTTTTTTTTTTT